AAAAAAAAAAAAAGAAAAGAGCGTGCAGAGAGCTGAAAGGGAGTGGGGAAGAGGGATGCGGGCAGAGCCACCAAAACCTCAGTCCATGTCCTGAGAATATTCCAAGCCTCAGTCACAGAGCCTGATTTCCTGTCCTTCCTCACCGCTAGCTTCATTAGCACTTATTTGTCTGACTCTCTCCTCGCACCCCTTTTCTGCACATACTGGGCCCGCAGGAAGCTAAGCTCCCAGGGCAGCTACTGTACCTCTGGGCCTCAGACAAGACATTTCTAATGGAGGGGGTTCTACCCACAAAACACCTGCCCAGGGGTGAGGTGGGAGGGCCGCAGAGGCCAAGTCTATGGGCTGAGCTATCTGAGAAGTTGGGTGGGTGTTTCTTCTGGGGTGGCCTCGCCCATCCAACACTTCCCTCCCCTTCTCCAAGCTCTGTTCAGCCCAACATGCCTTGGACATGAGCACTGAAGGACGAGCTCCAGGCCCGGAAACCCATGCAGGACTTGTCATTCAAAGACCTGGGTGACGAGGGCGCTCCTCATCATGTCTTCACTCATCCCCGTAGGGTCCCCTGTGTCTTTTTCTGGAACTTCACCTCCTGAGGGCTCCACCTCTTGCCGGGGTTAGCTGCCATCACCACCCGCGAGACAAGGCTTCATTCGACTAGGCCAGCTCTCTGGGATCACCACCTTGTTCCTCAGCTCAGCTCTGACCACCCCATAGCCATGCTGGGCTTGCTCTCCCCTTCTCACTGGTGCCACCTCCCCGAGTTTCTACTGTGGCAAGGGCACGCTCTGGGTACTCTCACCCCATTCTCACTACCACGGACGCCCTGGTGGTAGGAAGGAAGAGTTTATCACGGGCTTACCCAGAACTTCACGAGAAAAAAGGCATTGGAGGGTCCCCGTTCAAAGAGCTCCTTGAGTCCACCCTTTTTCTCCGGGAATTTGTCATAGATTTGGCGGATGTCCACGGCTTCGAGGTAGGGGTCGCTGTAGCTTGGGCTGGACTGGCCAATGTGCACGAACAGGTGCTTGTTGTACTGTAGAGAGAGTGGGTCTGAGGGAGGCGGAGCACAGGCCAGACGGTCAGACAGCCCCAGCTCTGCATGCCCACCACGTGACCCGGCGCAAGCCGCTTGGCCTTTCTGGACCATAGTTTCCCCATGAGTGAAACGGAGATGGTAAAAGACTTCTTTTATTTTACATCCTGAACTTCTAAGAGTCTATTCGGTTCACGGGGTCGTCAGCTAAAAAGAAGTTTGAGCTGGGCACAGTGGCTCACACCTGTAATCCCAGCACTTTGGGAAGCTGAGGTCAGGAGTTCAAGACCAGCCTGGCCAACATGGTGAAACCTAGTCTCTACTAAAAATACAAAAATTAGCCAGGTGTGGTGGTGGGCACCTATAATCCCAGCTACTCAGGAGGCTAAGGCAGGAGAATCGCTTGAACTCAGGAGGCAGAGGTTGCAGTAAGTTGAGATCACACCACTGCACTCCAGCCTGGGCGACAGAGCAAGTCTCTGTCTCAAGAAAAGGAAAAAAAAAAAAGTTTGAAGATGTCAGAGTGAGAAGGGCCCTGGCCTCCTGTCACGTTGGCCTCCTCCACGTCCCCCTCTGATCTTTGCAGGTGACGCTGGTCACCCAGGACACTGGACACTGAAGGGGACAGGCTGGCATCCCGTAGGATGTGGAGCAGACGCACAGGAGACTCCTCAGCTTCCTGCCTGCCTCTCAGAGCCAGGGAAAGGCTGGGACAGTGTGGGGGTGGGGCTGGGACCACAGCGACCTTGGACTAAGGGTTGGTTGGGTTAGGAGGGGAGGAGGAACACAGGACAGGGAGGGAGGAACAGGGCACTGGGCCAGGGAGGAGGGAAAGAGGGAAGGGGGTGACGTGAAGGAGGAAAGGAGTCGGGGGAAGGACGGAAGGAAAGACCATAAAGGAACAAGGAACTTGAATTAAGCCCCAGTGTGGAGTGGGACAAGAGCACTGGAAGCAGAAACAGAGGCAGAGGGGGTGGCGGGGAGCCAGCCAGGCACAGGCCAGGACCTACCGTGTCCGGGTCCTGCTGCTGCTCCAGGAAGGCTGAGAACTCCAACATCCAGAGCTTGGAGCTGGCCACGCTGCGGCCCTGCCACGGGGGTGCCGGGGGCGCAGAGGGCGATGGGGCGGGCCCTGCAGGAGACTCAAACCCTGCACAATGTGAGAGAGGCACATGGAACCTGGTCACGGACACCCGCCCTGCCCACACCCTCTGCAAGGACCCCGGGCCTCCTCGGACAGACCCGTGCTGCCTGGGGGGCCGCCTGTCTCCCTAAACGGACCTCCTAGCAGAGGTGGAGGAGAGAGTGCAAGGCTTGGGCATCCCAGAGCCTCTCTGGTGGGGAGGGGCTCGCCTGGTACAACTCAGGCCACTCAGGACTCTGCATGGAACCGCCCAGCAAGACTGGATTCTGGAGGGCAACTGGGGTCCTGCAGGACCACGGCTTCCAGAACAGGTACTGTTCAGTTCCTGCCGTCCAGCAACTTCTGTTCCCGTCGGGGAAATAACCAGATGAATCAACTATTACAATGTGGCATCACCCCGGAGAGACGGGGACGTTTCCTGTGTGCGTCACAGGTGTCTCCCCAGCTCCTAGAACAGGGCCTGGCCCAGAAGAGGCTCTCCATCCAGTGCTGCTAACAGATGAACCTACTCCATCCTACTGTAGTTTAGATCATGTCCTGAAGGCAACAGGGGGCCAGGAAGGCACCATAAGCCTGGAAGCAACACCATGAGACTGAAGCTCTGGTGAGTGACAGGGTGACGAGAGGAGGTGAGACGGGACAGGGAGCCGGTGAAGAGGCTGCTGCAGGAACACAGGCAAAAGCCAGCAGGCCTGGAGTGAAGACAGGGTCAGCGTGGACGGGAGAGGACTGCCATGAGACAGAGGGTGGACGGGATCCGACGCTGTGACTTCGTTTTGATGTGTGAACGAGAGAACGCAGCCTTCAGGACGTGGGGGGCAGGAGGCAGCAGGGCTGCTCTCGGTGGCAGGAAAGCCAAGGGGCTGGGCAGGCAGAGTCCACACCAGAATGGGCAGTTTAAGGGTGAGGAGCTGGTCTTGCCCTACAGAGTGGGAGGTGGTGAGGGCCCCTCCCGAGAAAGAGGCGAGGACAGAGGGGAGCCTGTCAGTGAGAGGGCGGGGGGGGGCTCCTGTCGGCAGAGCTGGCTGCCTCCGCCAGGTCTTCTTTCACAAGGGTCCCTCTTCTCGGGAGGGGCCCCAGGCTGGTGAGTTAGACGCCCCTCAGCCCTCCCAGGAGTCAGGTGTGCGAGGCACACTGCAGTAACAAGGTAGGCCAAGTGGGGCAGCCACCCGGGCACAGGCACTGCCCTTGGAAGGCATGTGCCCCACAAGCCCTGAGCACAGCTGGGAGGGGACAGGGACAAGGCAACCCGAAGGGCACAAAGGGGCTTGGCACACGGCTGAGGTGTGCCTCCTGGGGGCAAAGAATGGGGTGTGGCCAGGGACCAGGATGTGTGGTCGGAATGCGTGATGGGGCAGCATCTAACAGGGACATGCAGGGGCCTGGACCCAGAGGCCGGAGCCGCACAGCTGCGATGGATGGCAAGGGAGACACGCAGCGCTCACCCACCTGGCAGAGGCAGCGGAGGCTGGACAGCATAGGTTTGCTGAGAGAAAGGCTTCACACTGCGGGAGAGAGAAGAGGGGAGGTGTTAGCCTCGGGCAGGCTGCCACCACGGATCCCTGCACTGGGGCCAGTGGTCTCTGTGTGGTAGGTCCTGGTGGTCTGGATTTCAGTGGTCCTGATGGGCCTTGGCCTCCTACTCCCGCCCCTGCCGACTCCCTTGGGTTTCGTGGTGGGTCACAGACACAGCGTGTCGGATAAAGAAATCCACCCCTCCCTTTCCTCCTCCCAGGCCAGCCCGAGATCTGATTCCCAGCCTCCTCCCCTGGGGGACCTCAGCTCTGGCCCTGCCTACACCCTGGACAGACTGGGCTTTTGGCAAATACCACCCTAGGGTGTGGACATCACAGATGAGCCCAGTGATGCCTGAGAGTAGGAGAGCCCAATCCCGGAGCTCAAAGCCATCCTGAAAGGCAGACCCGAGCAGCAGCCCCAGCACACCCTGGGGCCCGGGCTCAATGTCATGAATTTATGAGTTCAAGTTCAGTTCAGGGAGCAACTGGCAGCAGAAAGCAGGCCATACTCACTCATGGGACGTTCCGGCTTGGCCTGGCAAAGCTCCTTGCCAAAACTGAGGAGGCAAAAGGCATGGAATCAGCATGGCCCCAGGTGCACCCAGGGCCCTGTGGCATGGGGGTAGGGGTGGGACAGGGCAGGGCCTCCACTGGGAGGAGAGGCTGGAGCCCTCGCCCTCGTCTAGCTAGTGAATGCTAACAGACCACAGCAGCACCCCCAGAGTGGGTTTCAGGGGGCTCTCAGGCCCTGTGGATGAGGGGCTCCAGGGGAAAAGCACCCAGGTGTGGTCCACACTGCACAGGACAACCCCCTGCAGAGTCACAGTGCAGGCCTAAGGCTCGGAAAAGTCCCAGTGCCAAGAACCCACTTAGTGCCAAGGGTCCCGAACGTACCCACAGCACCACTGTGTCCCATCTGTTTAACATGCGGAAGGACGAGTGCTCTCTGGGACACACTTTGAAAACTGCTGTGGCCTGGCACTGCCCCTTCCTCACGTGCCTACGGTGGTGCTGCAGGTGCCTTGAAGACTCATTTAGTCCCTGGAGCCAAGAAACCCCTCCGAGGAGACAGCTCTGAAAAGGGGCTTTTCTGGATCATTCTGAGAGTGTGGCCAACATGGTCATGGCTGGGAAATTTAAAATCTGACCGGGGGTTTGTTCTTGGGCACCAGCTCTCCACCTGGCAGGAGGGCAGGAATGAGGCTGCATGGCACGGGCTGCCCAGGGACATGCTGGTCTCAGGCTTCAGCTCAGCCACCTTGGCTTCAGCTTCCTCATCTGTAAATTGGGCCAACTTGGCAGAGCTACCAGTTGGTCAGCTCCTGGAAGCTCCCATTTCCCCCTTGTGAAAAGTCTGCAGTCACTGTTGAGGACCCAAAGAAAGGCATCCCAATATCAGCCAAGCCGGGACTTGTGTGGCCCCTTGGTCTTGTTCCCTCCTTCCCTGACTGCCCTGGCCAATAGGACTCAGGTGAGAGAAATCTGGGCTGGCCAATGCTTCTGGTCCTTCTGAACAGGGAGGAGGGAGGAGGAGAGGGCTGGCCTGGCCTCCGGCTCTCGGCAGCCCACTTACCCCTGAGACTGCTGGGCGGCCGGGGCCCCGGGCGAGGGCCATGCTACTGTGGAAGGCCGTGGCGGAGATGATCTGTGCAGACGACATGGCAGCCATGCTCTGCAGGGCCTTGTCCTTAGCTGCCTGGTCCTGGGGGAGACATTGCAAGGGAGGACCTCAGCAGGGTCACTAGTCAGGCTGAGGCCAGGCGGGTCTGGCTCTGGGGTCGGGGAAGCTGTCTCATTGCCAGTGGCCAGAGCTGGGGGACCAGGCGTTAAGTCTGTGCCATGCTATTAACTTGTTTTACAACTGAGAAAGTCACCTGGTTTCTCTGGTCAGTTTTCTCATCTGTCAAAGGGGCATGACACTTGCCCTGCTTATTTCTTCAGAGCTTAGAGAGACATTATCTGCCATTTTATTAATTACGGGGCCACCTCGAGAACGAGGGTCTTCTATGCTTTGCTCACCTCTCTACCACGGGTGCCCAGCTCAGCACTTGTCTTGTGAAAACGAAGCATAAATATCGGCTGGATCCCGACTCAAGTGCACAGAAAGCATCGTCCCTGGCCACACGGGCTGTCTGGAGGCAAGAGACCATTTTCTGTGGCCCTACCTACCTCGGTCCTCCCTAAGGATCTCCCTGGACACTGCAGGCACCTGGGACTCACTCATCTTTCACAGATCAGAAGGTAAATACCCACTGTCTGCCCTCCAAAGGCTCTAAGACCCCAGAGGATGGGTTCACCCTGAATAGGCCCGGAACAAATGAGCACACAGGGAAAGCCACGTGGATGGCACGGGTAACAATAGTAATAGTTTGCTATATTCGTATAAGCCAGTGCTTTCCATCCTGAGTGCCTGAATTCCAAAGGTCTTCAAAACCAATGACACAACATTCCCTATTTCAAGAAGCCTAATGGAAATTGTGTCTTTTTTTTTTTTTCAGAGACAGGGTCTCGCTGTGTCACACAGGCTGGAGTACTGCACAATTGTGGCTCACGACAGCTTCAAACTCCTGGGCTCCAATGATCTGCCCATCTCAGCCTCCTGAGTAGCTGGGACCACAGGCATGTGTTACTGTACCCAGCAGGGATTATCCCAAAAGACCACACACACCCAGGCTGGAACAGCAAGTATCATTCACTGTCTGAAGCTTTATCAGGGCTAAATGGCTCGACTGAGTCAACTCAGGAGCTCTGATTAGAAATTTGGTATCTGGCCGGAAGCGGTGGCTCATGCCTGTTATCCCAGCACCTGGAGAGGCTGAGGTTGGTAGATTGCCTGAGCCCAGGAGTTCAAGGCCAGCCTGGGCAACTTGGCGAAACCTGTCTCTACAAAAAATACAAAACTTAGCCAGGTCTGGTGGTGTGTGCCTTTGGCCAAGCTACTCAAGTTGCTGAGGTGGGAGGATGGCTTAAACCTGGGAAACAGGGACTGCAGTGAGCTGAGATTGTACCACTGCACTCCAGCCTGGGCAACAGACCAAGAATCTATCTAAATAAATACATAAATAAATATCTTTATGATTATTATTTTTTTTCAGACAGCATCTCATTAGCCCAGGCTGGTCTCAAACTCCTGGCTTCAAGTGATCCTCTGGCCTCGACCACCCAGTGCTGGGATTATAGGCATGAGCGACTGCCCCCAGCCATGAATTTTTTTTTAATGAGAAAGATAAAACCATTATTGAATAACTAATAATAATTAACTTGGTAGATCTGGATCTCCCTTAAGTGATACAAAGGTTGAGAACCTCCCAACTACTTGGGAGACTGAGACAGGAGGATCACCTCAGCCCAGGAGGTCGAGGCTGCAGTGAGCGGTGACAGCACTAATGCACTCCAGCCTGGGCGACAGAGTGGGAGTCTCTAAAAAATAAAGTAAACACAGAAGTTGAGAAGCAACGGCGAGCCTTGCACCTCACAAGCTCTTCTGAGGGATGCCTCGACACGGTCCACACTGCAGCTCCATGAGGCGGGGAGTACCGCAGCCCGGAGGCTCAGAGGGGCTTAGTGCTCCCCTGCCGTCCTGGTGCCGTGCAGGTGTGGAGCCAGAACACAGCAGGCCCTTCCACTCAGCCTCTCAAGGTGACCATTTCACCCATGTGGCATGAGGCAGCCCAGGGAAGGTTTTCAAGAACACGACCTCACGGCGTCCTGAGACTGGCAGGACTAGTAGGATCTTTAAGATGAAGAAACTGAGGCTCCGAGAATTTGGGTGACTAGGGTGCTGAGAGTGGTGAGGGTGGCCAGCTGAGCTCGGTCCAGATTGGCACACAGGGGGCCGTGCAAATGAAGGGGTCGGGGGAGACGCATCATAGAGGGCGGTGGGGAGTGGGGAACCGTTCTGAGCAGTGGGTCATTGTCAACGTGGACAAAGCAGTGAAGCAGATGAGGTTTGTCCCTGGTCCTTCCTGGCCTCCTCCCCACTGTCCTTTTGGGGCCACACTTGGGCTTTGCTCTCAGAGGTTGTCTCTGATAACTAAAGAGGGAGCTAACTAGTAAGTCTAAGGGTGTGTCTCATCCAGGGACACTTGCAGTTTTCAGGAGGAAAGTGCCCAGGCCAGCCCCCGCCTCTCCCCGCAGGAGGGCACGAGGGACTTGGCAGGCGCACCCCTGCGAGCCCGCAGACCTCGGCACTTAACTGCATCACGAGGCCGGGGCTGCACCTGCTCAGTGCCTGCCTTCCTGGACACTCGATCTAAACAAACGGCTGGGGCTCAGGAAACCATGGCCTGAGCAGGGTAGGGCAGGGGTCAGGAGGAAGTGGGAAGGACCTGATGGGGAGTGACAGCAGTAGCCGGGCAATGGAGCCAGGGAGCCACTAACTGGGGCCGGGAGAGGCACTTGGATATCACCTTGCTCGTCTGTCACTTTACAGATGAGGAAACTGAACGGAGCTCCAGGAGGTCCCAGTGACTTTGCCCAAGTACCCACGGCCATAGGGCAGAGCCAGGCCTACGACCCAGCCTCTCACTCAGGGATTTCTACCGGATCACTCTCTAACTCAGAGCTTAATCACTTCGGGTTCTAGATTCTTTGAGAATATGACAAAATCCTCACAGCAATCTCTCCAAGGAAACTCACATATACATGAAAATTTGCATATTTTAAGGAGTTTATGGCTCCCCTTGGTGTCTGTCCAGCCATCCACTGAAGGCTGTCCTTGGGCCCCAAGTCAGAACCTGTGGACAAGGATGAATACAATTCCCTGAGGCAAATTTGGGCCTCACAGCTGGCCCCCAAGGGGTTGCCCTAAACGCAGCAGTGGGAAGTCTATTCACTGTGGTCATCTGCGGGGTCCCGGTGAGTCAGAGGCGGACAAAAGAGGGGAAACAGGGAGCAGGGCTAGGCTGTGGGTGCTTCCAGCGTACACGAGCCAGGCTGAGAGGCAGGGAGCAACAGCTGAGGGCCGGTCAGCTGTCCCAGGGAAAAAGGAGCGAGGTGCCAGGCCACAGTTGTGGGGCTTGGGGAACAGCTGGGCTGATGGCAGGAGGAATGGAACTGAGTGGGCAGTGGGGTGTGGCTTCCTAGGAGGCAGAAAGGTCTGTGGTTCCCGCCCACTCATTCTGAGATTCCAGTGTCAGGATCATGAACTGCCAGGGCCAGACGGGACCTTCAAGGTCATCTAATTCAGTGGCTTTTCTTTAATATAAAAAATATTTTTAGAGATGGGGTCTCACAATGTTGCCCAGGCTGAAGTGGCCAGTTACAGGTGCAGTCACAGCTCACTGCAGACTCCACCGCCTGCCATCAACCTCCAAGTAGCTGGGATTACAGGCATGCGTGCCCAGCTAGCCCAGTGGCTTTTTTGAGATGGAATCTCACTCTGTTGCCCAGGTTGGAGTGCAATGGCACTATCTTGGCTCACTGCAACCTCTGCTTCCCAGGTTCAAGCGATTCTCCTACCTTAGCCTCCCCAGTAGCTGGGATTACAGGTGTGCGCCACCACACCTGGCTAGTTTTTATATTTTTAGTAGAGACAGGGTTTCACCATGTTGGCCAGGCTGGTCTCGAACTCCTGACCTCAAGTGATCCGCCCACCTTGGCCTCCCAAAGTGCTTACAGGCATGAGCCATTATGCCTGACCTCCCAGTAGCTTTTAAACTGGGTTCTGAGGTCCCCTAGCGTCCAAGTGTCATGAGGTAGGAAAGGATTCACGGGAGGAGAGGAGCCTTGCCAACCTAGCTTTGACCAGAACAGCTCCTCTGATAACACATCAGCGTGATATTTTGTTGGGAGGAAAAAAGGAAAGGGGCTACGTTGCTTTAAAAAAAAATGTTTGCAGGCCAGTCCCAGTGACTCATGCCTATAATTTCAGCACTTTGAGAGGCCAAGGCAAGAGGATCTCTTGAGCCCCAAGGTTTACGGACCTCTGAGGCAAAATAGGGAGACTCCGTCTCTATAAAAAAATAGAAAAAAATGGCCGTGCAGTGGCACTTGCCTGTGGTCCCAGATACTCAGGAGGCTGAGGTGGGAGGATGGTTGGAGTTTATGAGGTCAACGCGGCCGTGAGCTATGATTGCGTCACTGCACTCTGCGTGGGTGACGGAGATCCTGTCTCTAAAAATACATCAATAAAAATGTTTATAAATGGTCTAGACTTAATGCCTCAAATGTCAGATCTTCCCACCGACTGGCTGTGCAGGCTCTGTGGTCATCATCTCCCTGATGTCTCGAGAGCTCACACCCTCCTAGTGTTCACCCAAAGGCCCCCAGTTCCAGGGTCCCAGAGGCCCGACTCCTGTGGAGAGCAGGGCTACCCTGAGGGGAATGCCGCAACATCAGGCCCCCCAGAGCTGTCACCTATGAGCAGAGGCCCTGCAAGACGGGGCTGACCCAGGGAAGGGAAGGAACCCCCAGTCCCACAGGGCAGGAAGCAGGAAGGAATTCCCCAGCTCCCACAACACCATAAACGCCACCCCCACCCCCACAGCAGGTGCCCCCCATGCCCCTGCTGCTCTACATGCTCTGGTTGAGGGCACCAAGGCGCCCTCAAGAAATCAGGGCTGGTGGGTGATCCGGCTGCTCTGAGCCATGTGAGCCCCTCTAAGCAGGAGCCAGCGAGGGGGGATCCCAGCAGGAGCCTGGCCTGTAGCTCCCAGGGTGTGGGGAGCCAGGCGTCCACCACTTGGCCCTCTTGTGTGGATGGGAGACAGGTTACAGGCCCAACCTGGCTTTCCTCAACAGAGAGAAGCACACCAGCAGCCACGCCCTGACCCCAAAGGGAAGGCATACTGCTGGAGAAAGCCACCACTCCTGGCCCCTCCAGCCCCCAACACTGCAGTTTCCTTACCTTTAGCTTGGCCTGGATCTCGCGAGCTTTGCGACGAGCCAGCACCTGGATGTGGCTGGAAACCTGTGGCAGGGAGAGAGGGCTCCTGTCTCTACCTCCCAACAACCTGTGTTCCCCAGCCTGGCTTCTGGCTTCCCGACCCTCGCCCTTCACCGCCCTCGAGCCACATCTGTGGACAAAATGAATGAATGAATGAAAGGGTCAACTGGTCGGCCCTCAGTCCTGCCTTGCCCAGCTAATCCAGAAGCTGGCAATATTTCAAAAGCGCAGTGCCGGCAGGGTGCAGTGGCTCACACCTGTAATCCCAGCACTTTGGGAGGCTAAGGCAGGTGGATCACTTGAGGTCAGGAGTTCGAGACCAGCCCAGCCAACATAGTGAAACTCCATTTCTACTAAAACCACAAAAATTAGCTGGGTGTGGTGGCACATTCCTGTTATCCCAGCTACTTGGAAGACTGAGGTAGGTGAATTGCTTGAACCCAGGAGGCGGAGGTTGCAGTGAGTGGAGATTGCATCACTGTACTCCAGCTTGGGCAACAGAGCGGGACTCTGTCTCAAAAAAGAAAAAAAAAAAAAAAAGTAGTGCCAATGTTTTACTGTCTGTCCTGGTGTCCTGGAGAAGAACAAGAGGGGGTTGTTGACTCTCCAGAGAGGGAAGGAGTTTCCTCCTAAGTGATGACAGCAGGGACCCCAAGAAAACTGAACCACGCAGCCGGGCATGTAATTCCACGCCTGTAATCCCACCACTTTGGGAGGCTGAGGTGGGTGGATTACATGAGGTCAGGAATTCCAGACCATCCTGGCCAACATGGTGAAACCCCGTCTCTACTAAAAATACAAAAAATTAGCTGGGCGTTGTGGCGGGTGACTATAATCCCAGCTATTCGGGAGGCTGAGGCAGGAGAATGGCTTTAACCCATGAGGTGGAGGTTGCGGTGAGCTGAGATTGCGTCATTGCACTCCAGTCTGGGCAACACTAGTGAAATCCCGTCTCAGGAAGAAAAAAAGAAAAACTGGACCACCCGTGACACGCCCAACAGAGATAACTCATCCAGAGCTGCCGCCCCTTGAAAGCCCGCGTCTGGTCCTGGGAGGGCCTGGCCCACCTTGGGAGCAGGCTGGTGCTGGGGTACCACCCCTGGGACCCCTACCCGTCTCTTGAGGCCCACCTGCTTCCTGGTGCGGGTCTTCCCTGTCCGGAGCTTGATGTAGCGGGCAATCAGCTCGTTCCGACCTGCAGAGACACCAGCAGCCTCTCAGCAGAGAGGACAAAAGGCTGGAAGCGGTGAGGGGGTGAGGGGCACCTTCTGCGGGGGAGGAGCCCTACGCTCCCTCTCTGCCCATCCTAAGCAGATCTGTGGGGTGAGGATTCTGTGGGTTCCCTCTCTGGATCACAGGGATCTCCCAACAGCCAGAGGAAGACAAGGCCTCACTGTAGGGACTGAAACCTGCGAACAAGGTTAACAGGGCCCATGGCCACCAACCACACACAGCCTGACGAAGTTCCAGAGCCTCCCTTGACCCCCGGCACCGTTCCTCAGCGCTGGCCACCTCCTCCCCTCTCCCCGCACTTTCTCCTGGGGCCTTCTTCACACTTGGGAGGCTCCAGGGAGGTGCCCGGCCCTCGGCCTTGCCCTGTGTGACTGCCACCGTGCCCTCCGCCTCTGTAAACGAGTAGGAGCTTCCAGACTTCTTGTCCTGTCTGCAGGCAGCAGCAGGCATGGGGGGTGCAACTGCTGGAGACACTGAGCGACCCGGAGAGGAGGCCTGAGCCTGTTCGCTCATAAAGAAAAGCCAGTTAGTGCACATGTGCAGCCCCATGGCGGACTCGGAGCCCTCAACAAGGAAGGCTGAGCACTCCCCATGGGCCCACCCCCCGAGGGACTGCCGCTGTGCCTGAAGCATCCTGGAAAACCCCAAAGAGCGTCCATGGCTTCCAGTATTGAAAAAGATGATGCAAAGGGGTTCCTCATCTCAAAGTGTCACCTAGTTCAGGAGTGGCATGTGCCCGCACAATGGAATCCACGGGTGCTACGAACAGGGACGTGTTCACAGAACCAGGGGCCAGTTCGGGCTGCGTGGTCAGGCAAGCTCTTGGGTGGCCCTTGACCCCTGGGTAGTGTTAGACCATACAGAAAAGCATCGGGTGAGGAGAGGCAGAGGAAGAGGGTTTGAGTGCGGGGATCAGAGGGAGCAGCTGCCAGCCCGCCCCGTCCTGCAGAGCCTGGAGGGCTTGCGGCTGTCCGCAGGAGGCAGCTGCTGATGGTGGGGGAGGTGAGGGGAGTGGGCTGCCTGCCACCTGGGTTGTAACCAGAGTGCACGGCCACGGCCAAGCTGACCCCCCAGCTGACCTTTCCCCAATGCCAAGGCCAAATTAAGAGGCTACTCTCCAGAGGTACTGTCTGCCAGAAAAGGTTTGCCTGTGTCAGAGGAAGGAGGGAGGGGAGAATCGGAGTCTGGGGACATTGTCCGTGGGCTGTTCTGCACCTAAAACCCTGAGTCCACAAGATGTCTCCTCTCAAAGCGTTCTAGGGAAAGGCTTTGGCGGTCCAGTGAACGGTCGACAGTTCTACCCTAGGTCTAGCTAAAGTCACCCGTGCAGCATCTCGGGTGTAAGTCATCACCAGTGGGTGAATGAACTAGGGCCACAGACCTGCGAGCTGGCGAGTCAGGCTAGAGCCTGGCAGCTCCACAAGTGAGGTTTGGGAGCACGGTAAGTCTCTTCCCTTTAAGGACCTTCACTCAGCCTTCTCTTCTTTTTCTTTTTTTTTTTTATAAGAGACGGAGTCTCGTCTCGCTCTGTCACCCAGGCTGGAGTGCAGTGATGTGGTCTCGGCTCACTGCAAGCTCTGCCTCCTGGGTTCACGCCATTCTCCTGCCTCAGCCTCCCGAGTAGCTGGGACTACAGGTGCCGCCACCTCGCCCGGCTAGTTTTTTGTATTTTTAGTGGAGACGGGGTTTCACCGTGTTAGCCAGGATGGTCTGGATCTCCTGACTTCGTGATCTGCCCGCCTTGGCCTCCCAAAGTGCTGGGATTACAGGCATGAGCCACTGCGCCCGGCCAGCCTTCTCTTCTTGAATCTAGTTCCTTTAAGGTTTTTCCTGCAGATTTTTCCAAATTTCTACAAATGTAGGAAACAGACCTCAACGCTGGCTCAGTGAGAGCACTCTGTGGCTCAGTTTCCTTTTCTGTAAAATGAACATGCTCTAGGCCCAAGTAAGTAACCCAGTTCAGAGACTAGTCTGCGAGCAAGGAAGAGCATGAGGGAGGAAGAGGTTCCCAAGAGCTGCGAAGTGGGTGATGGTGTAGCAGGAGGGATGGGGATGGCAGACCATCTGGGATACAGTTCTTGGTTGCTCCTCCGGCCCGTGCCTTGCACACAGGTTACCGTGTGCTCATCGGTTGTCCGTGTCTGTCTTTCCTCGTTAGACTCTCGACAGCTCAGAGGAAGAGACCATGCATCCGTTCAAGTCTGCATGTCCAGTGCCTGGCACCTACTCGCTGAACGAATGAACGAGTCTGGTGTGGCTCCACTTCCAAAACATATCCAGAATTCATTCAGCCACTGTGCAGCACCGCACCTTCCAGGGTCCAAGTTCCCGTCATCTCTGGCTTGCATTAGGATCATCACCGTCCACGTGTATTCCCTACTCCCAGTCTGCTCAACACAGCAGCTGCAGCGACCGTATTGAAATTCAGAAGCCCTCCAACGGCTTCCATCTGCCCCAGATTAATGGTGTCCAAGTCCTTACAACGACATGGAAACCCCTGCAGGATGTGGCCACCCCAGTTCAGTCACCTCTCTGATCTAGTCTACCTGCTCCATCCTAAACCTCTTACTGTCCTGGGATGCACCAGGCCCACACCTGCCCCACCAAGGTCCTTGTGCTTCCTGTTTCTCCTCCAGGGAACACTCGGCCCCAGAGTCCCACACCACCTGCACCCCTCGGGTGCCACTCTCCCTTCCCTGACCAACCCACTGAGGGCTGAAGTCGTACTCCTACCTGCCCACCCTGGCACCCACCGCCTTTCCTTTTCTCCACAGCACCTTCTAGCATAACACATAATCTAACTTATTTCAGTACCGTCTGTGCCCCCACCCCCATCAGAACCACAGTCCATGTGAATAGGGATTTTTGGTCCATTTATTCACTTTTTTATACCCAACACCTAGAAAACTGCCTGCATACTGTAGGCGTTCAATAAATACTTGCTGCCTGAATGACAAGGGAATGAATGCTAAGATGCTGGTCAGATGTCCCGTAACTGTTTTAGTCTTCTCAGACAAAGGAGTGAGTTAAATACACGCAAATAACCTTATACTTCTGATTAGTCTGACGTAACTTTCAAAGCGCCGTCCTGTCCTGGTCTCATTGAACTTTTCTGTACCTGAGCAAACCCCGACTTTTGTGAAGACTAAGACATTTAGAAATTGGGAGGCCGGGCCTGGTGGCTCAAGCCTGTAATCTCAGCACTTTGGGAGGCTGAGACGGGCGGATCATGAGGTCAGGAGATCGAGACCATCCTGGCTAACACAGTGAAACCCTGTCTCTACTAAAAAAATACAAA